AGTGGTAGGAAGCAATACAAGGCGGTTAGAAGTCATTTCTACAAAACAACTCGTGTGCTGCCTTCATGGAAAGGAGTGACGATAGCACCCACAAACCCCCGAAGCAAACACAACCAATGAGCGTTGAATATTTATCGCATCTACAGCACCATAGCCAATCAAAATCGTCAGTCCGCATGCACTGGCCAGTCTCACGGCTACAATGCCATCTCGTTACTGCAAAAATAATAACAATTTCCATAGGTCTTATATCAAAACGCTGATAGCAACTTTTAGTTGATACATAAAAATGCAATGAACCATAAGTTAATTTAAGCCTAAATCAAATCTAGCAGTAGTTCTTGAAAATTTGTCGCATCACTTTTCAACAGTGATTCTGCATATCTAAAGACTGGGAAGTTTACTTGCAGGGTAACTCAACAGCATTAAAGATAGCTGTTTGCCAAATGTAGAGACTTTCGGCTTGGTTCGTTCAAAATTCTGTACCTTTTGGTGATGCTGACTTCTCCGATAATGTTTAAGTAGAAATAGAAGCATCCTACTTGATCTATTTAGCATTGCGCTGCTCCATTCAACCATAACATTACTAGAGGGAACTCTTAGTCTGGGCACCCTACCTCGGTTACCAGACCAAGCGTATTTGTAACCACCTCACCTCCACATCACCTTGATGTATCTTTTGCAAATTTGGCGGGATAAAAGATGAGTATTGCGGGGTCTAATTTCCCTAATGGCATTCATCTTAGTTATCTGCTATGCCAATTTCGTTTTCATGTTCATAAACTGTCAAATAAACAATTGCCACACAGCAAATAAAAAACGCTTGTGTTAGTAGAACTTAGTGCTTTTGTAAAATTGAATGTTTTACTTAAGCTAATCAATGGAGGGAAATGTGGCCTTGATTGGTGATACAAACATTTCATATTTAATCAATGAACTGTAAATAAGGCAAAGTAGGTCCTCCATAATGCGTGTTGATGCTTGTGAGTAGAGGCAAAGAGAACCTGGAATGATGTGC